AAAGCTGTTTGAGTAAACGACTGCAGAGTAGGGGCAATTGAAAATGCTACTGAATACAATTCTTAAAATATTCACTAGGAAGTTACCATAGTAACTAACTGATTTTTCAAAAAAAAAAAAAAATTTTTTTTTGAAATGCATTACAGATGTTCTCTTCAAAATATCTTAAAAAGGGGAAAACATAGCAAGTACAAATGATTGATAATAACTTTTTCCAGAATTGAGACCTATCAAATTATTTACCAAATATCCTGCACAGTATCATGCTACTGTTCAAATATAAGTTAAAAACAAATGTCGAAAATTAAACTGAAAATGCTCTTTCATAGAATCATAGAATGGCCTGCGTTAAAAAGGACCTCAAATATCACCTACTTTCAACCCCCCCACTATGTGCAGAGTCACCAACCACCAGACCAGGCTGCTCAGAGCCAGCTTGGTCTTGAATGCCTCCAGGGATGGGGCATCCACAACCTCCTTGGGCAACCTATTCCAGTGCCTCACCACCCCGAGTGAAACACTTCCTCCTAATATCTAACCTAAACCTCTGCTGTCTTAGTTTTAAATCATTCCCCCTTGTCCTATCACTATCACCCTCATAAACAGTCATTCCTTCTCCTGTTTATAAACTCCCTTCAAGAATTGGAAGGCCACAATGAGATCTCCCCGAAGCCTTCTCTTCTCCAATCTGAACAAGCCCAGTTCCCTCAACATTTCCTCATAGGAAAGGTGCTCCAGCCCTCTGGTCACCTTGGTGGTCCTCCTCTTGGACTCGTTCCAAGAGTTCTGCATCTTTCTTGTGCTGGGGACCGCAGGCCTGGATGCAGCGCTGCAGATGGGACCTCACAAGAGCCGAGGAGAGGGGGATGACCACCTAGCTGTCCCTGCTGTCCCCACTCTGTTGATGCAGCCCAGAACACAGTTGGCCTTCTGGACTGCAAGTACACACTGCTGGTTTATGTTCAGCTTCTCGTCCACCAGGATCCCCAAGTCCTTCCCGCAGGACTGTTCTCAAACAGTTCTTCTCCCATCTTGTATAAACACCTGGGATTACCCCGACCCAAATGCAGCACCCTGTACTTGGCTTTGTTGAACCTCATTACTTTCACACAGGCCTATTTCTCAAGCCTGTCTAGGTCCCTCTGGATGGCTTCCCTTCTGTCCAATGTATTGACCACTCAGCTTGGTACCATCTGCAAACTTGCTGAGGCTGCACTCGATGCCATCCATCATCTGAGTCACTGATGAAGATGCTGAAGAGCACCCGTCCCAAGACCGACCCCTGAGAGACATCGCTTGTGACCAGCCTGCACCCTGACACAGAACCACTGATCACAGCCCTTTGGCAGTGACCAGCCAACCAATTCCTAAGCCTCCAAACAGTCCATCCTTCAAATCCATACCTCTCTAATTTATAGAGAAGAATATGATCAGGGACCATGTCAAAGATTTTGCATAAGTCCAGGTAGATGATATCCGCCACCCTTCCCCCATCCACCAAAGCCATCACTCCATCATAGAAGGCCACCAGATTGGTCAGGCACGATCTGCCCTTGGTGAAGCCGTGCTGGCTGTCTTGACTCACCTCTTTATCTTGTATGTGTCTTAACATAGCTTCCAGCAGGATCTGCTCCATGATCTTCCCAGGCACAGAGGAGAGGCTCACTGGCCCGCAGTTCCTCAGGTCTTTCTTTGTCCCTTTCTTAAAAATGGGAGTAATGTTTCCTTTCTTCCAGTCATCGGGGACTTCACAGCCACAGTTTCTGTTTAAATCAAACTGAGTATCTTTAGCTAACTCAGCAAAAATACGTTTTTATATCAATAAAACCTTTAAAATTTGTAAAGCTGCTATTTTGCAAACTGCATTTAGCAATATTTGATTCCTTGCTGAAATTTTGATACTGTAAAGATGTAACAAAAATGCTGTTTAATAACACAAAGGAATACCATATTCAAACTCAGATGTTTTTTCAAAGAAGTTGAACCTTTCCATGAAGAGTCACTATTTAAAATTGAAATCATACAGTGATACTTAAATATTCATTTGCTCTTTATCACTTTTCAAGATAGTCTTACCTCATAATATAGTATGAGCAAGAAGCTCAGTAAAAAATCAATACTTTTAACCTTATTGATATAATTCATAGCAATAGATAGAATACTTTGAAATTTGGTTAATCATTTTTGCTATTGAATTTCTTAGACATGCTGATAAAATGTATTTTTTATATTTGCAAAGACATATTCATTTTGGACTTACGCACTCTACCTTAGCAAAGGAAACTCCTTAATCACAATCCCTGCTGAAGAGCACTGTCGTATTCTTGCATTGTATTTCTCTCAAATTGATTAGCATGAAGAAACACAGGGGAAACTGAGCAGCTTTAACAGAACTTGGTTTCATCCATTTCGTCTCCATTATCTTCAACTTCTTTTCTTTAATGATTTTCTGCAAGGAAATTCTAAATCTCAAAGGTTTATAACAGCTTGTGGAGTAAAATGTAGGTTTGTTTTTTTTTCCTCTGCTTACAGCATCAATCAGAAAAGAGAGGAATTTAAACTTACTTGCTACACCTGGGTTTGTTTTAAGAGAGAGCTGAAATACCGAAGACAGTGTTTGATTTCTCATTTATCATTGGGGTCAGAAGAACTCCTGGACTACAGAAACCTATTTCAATTCCGTAACAAAGGGGAAAGAAACAAACTACGGTCTTTGAGCTATTACACTGGAAAATCAAGAAGCTGGCAGTTTTCTTTACCAAACTGCCTTAGCTAAACTCAGAGATATTCTTAGGGAGGCATTAGAGAAATTGATTTTAAACAAGAATTATAAAGTGATTGGGAGAAATTGTATATTCGATGCCTGTAATATTTTGACATCACAAAATCTGTTAGGTACGTTAGTAGAGATTCTGGTCTTCTTTTTCATAAAGTAACACGTTTTATCTACATTTTCAAGCTCCTCTGATTGTCCTAGGTTGTTAATACAAAAGCATAAGTCAATGCCAAAACTGACAACAGCTGTGCATTTTGAGATTGATTCTAAGGGATCATGCAACATGGGGGAAGGGAAAGGGGAAGGAGAAGGGAAGACCTTAACTTATAGCAGCCTTCTCATACCTAAAGGGGGTCTGCACAAAAGCTGGAGAGGGATACTTTGTCAGGACGTGTAATGATAGTGCAAGGTGCAATAGTTTTAAACTAGAAGAAGGTGCCTAAATGCCTAGAAGTGTTCAAGGATTTGAACAGCCTGGTTTAGGAGAAGGTGTCTCTGCACGTGGTAGGGGTGGAAGGAGGGGTGAACTTGCCGGACTTCAAAGGTCTCTTCCAACTCAAACCATTTTTGGGATTCTTTGATTCTATGAAAGGAATTTTGGAATTTCTTTATTGTAAAGAGATCCAATTCTTATCTTTAATTGTTAATGCTTAGATAAAGAGAGGCCAAAGCACATATATATTCCAAGTAGATTGGTATACACCAAACAGATTGGATAGGGAGCTATTTAGCTGTGCCGCTTGAGTGGCATGCATCTTGGTTTAGGCTCATATGTTTGTACAGCTTCTAGACTAAATGTCTTTGGCTTCAGGACCTAGGCATCAGAATACATGCCTATCTACACTCTAATTACTTTGTGGCTACTTGATTAACTGATAAGCTTTCTTCTGTAGCAGCCAAATAAAAATTCCAGTTAGTTAAATCCCTCTACAAAATTTTCTTTTCATGTATCATGTATTTTACATATATTTGTTTTACACATCAAAAGGCAGATTTACTTCCTTCTACCTTGCTTTCACATAAAATACATGTTAAATGCCACTCCAATGTGACTACATTGGAGCATTCACCAAAATCAGAACCATTTAAAATTTATGGGGTTTATTCTTCTTTTATCAAGCATTTTCTACATACAGAACATTCACGTGGTGTAAGGTACAGAAGAAAAATGCATGAGACAGACTACTGCAAATAAGTGAATAAAGGACAGTTCACACGACTCTTGTTTGTTCACAATGGAGAAAGGTTGTTGAAAAGGAAAACAGATTCAGTAACTAGAAATGTAAGCAGACTCTTAATTCAGTTAAACGTACCTACCAGGAGATTTGCTCAAGCTAAAGAGAGATTTACTGTATCACAAAGGGCAGGATGCTAAATGTACACAAGATTACAATGCTAGAAAATTCCAGATTTCTAAATTTACACAATCTAAATCAGGGTAAAATTTTGTTTAAAAAAAGTATTTTTTTTTTTTAATTTCCTTCTGAAAAAGGAGGTCAGTTTAAGAGCTTATAAGCATTCCTTAGCAAAAACATAATAAAAATAAAAACACTCCCAAACTTTTAAGTCATTGCTCTAAGTCTGGATAGTTGTTTACTGCTGGCTTTCTTATCCTGCTGACTATTGTTATTTTATTTCTGAGAATCTCATTTTTCCCATTTAGATGTTTCCTCATCATTACAATTAGAATTTTACGTTAATAAACTTAAAAAAAAAAAAAAAAAAAAAAAAAAGATTTTGATGGTGGAGGTGGGTTTCTTGCATTTTTTTTCACTAGTCCAATTGGATGCATGAAATAGAAAATTTGCTGAGTTACCCAAATGGTTTAATAAATACGCATCAATGGTATAATGAATAAGAAAAAAAATATTATCTACTTGTTAACTTCAATTCTCTGAGTTTCCAGCTTCCTAAAACGTACACATTTTTTTAAAAACACCAATTTTCTTGTCAGCAAAAGTAAAGCTTTGTGTAGTCAGATCTCAGAATTTGGTTACTCTGAATAAGTAAATGCAGCGGTTCTCTGTAGTACAACTCAGACTCCTTACTGATGGAACTCTGTGACAGCTGAAAAACCTAACATCTATTTTTTTTCTTAAAAAAGAAAAACAAACAAACAAACAACCAGCAAAACAGCTTTCTCAATTAAGACTCGTCATAAAAATAAGCTTCTTGAATTTCACTGATCAGAAAACTGTGCACTGCAAATATAATTTCTCTTTTTTCTCTTTCTATGTCCCAAAGCTTGAGACAAAAATTTGATAGTAAATGTTTCTCTCCAATGACAGGCAATCCTGTAGTCACAATGGGAATAAGTTACACAATTTCTATGCTTTACCTTTCTTGTGACACTTTCACTTCAAGGCACAAAAATATTAAACAGTGAACTGACAAAACAGGACATCCTATTTCAGTTTAAGGAACAAAAAGTTGTACATCTCTCATTTTGTGTCTGAAGCAAAGCAAACCAATATTTGAATCATATTCAATTCTTCCATTTACAAATGCAAAGTATCATGTTAAATTCCCTGAAGCTTTATGGTTTTTCCTATTTTCTTTAAAGTAATGCATGGTATTTGTCATCAATTTCAATATGTAGTAATTCCAGTCAACCAATACAATCTTGGTTGATATTCAATAAGGCTACCATATTAGCAAATAGCTGTTGCTTTAGTAACTTATATGGAAATTGACTCAAATTGCATTCAAGTCAAAGGAATAACAGGCATAGAAGGGTTGAACAATTTCAAATGAAATTGGTGTAGATTTAAAGAATGCTATAATTTAAGTGCAACGTACTGTAAAACTATTAATTCAGCAAATATTCAACATAGATTCTTATGCTTCCCCAACCCAAATTACTGTGTTGCCTCTCTCAACTTCAGTGATTTCACAATTTAACTTATTGAGGCGTCCATCCAGGATAAACAGAGATTCCTTGGAAGGGGTCATGAGATACTGACCAAAAAGGCCACTGTCTTTTATAAGACGGTTCTTACTGTTCCAAGGCCATTCGCCTGCCCTGACAGGCTCCTTAAGACTCTTCACCATCTTAACCTTTCCAGAGGAGAGCTCCACAAAGAGAACGTCAGTTTGTGTACTGGAACTACAGTAGATGTTGTATTGATGAGCTTCAGTGAATGATGGCTGAAAAGCTACATCAGATATGTGCAAATTTGTGTGAATGTCAAATGAATCTTGTATTTCTCCTCTCAACGTTATGGTCTGGATCCTCATGAGACCCTTTGCATCATCAATACTGACAAGGTAGTGTCCATCTGGAGAGACGTGTGGTCTGCCTGTTACATCGCCATTGTATCCAATCACAGAATCAGTAACACTATCCACTATAAGCTGTGGCAGAACAGCACCAGTGGTATCAGGTTTACAGTAGATAAAAAATAATCCTCCAAGATGTGTATAAGCCAGGGACTGAGGAATGCAATTATAATCCTTTAAACTAATTGTCTTGATGTACGACATAGTTTCAAGATCAATCTTCTGGAGCATGGGCTCATCTTTATGAAGAATAAATCCAAACCTGGAAGGAAAAGCACAGAGTCAAAGAAAGAGGTACTGTATGCATCATGTACAAATGTGGAAAGGCAAGATAATAAAGTACATGAGTTAATACTTGCAGCAGTGTACAAATACAATTTAGCTTCAGATGTTCCAGAGATGAAGCATTTTATATTATTTAATTTTCAGTGTTCTTGTAATTATATTTTAAATTGTGCCAAATAAAATATCTAAAAAATCATTTCTCTGATTAATTGGCAATGTTTTATTTCTATAGACTCTAGGGGGAAAGTAAACATTACTCTGAATGTCTATTCAGTTAAAACTTTTACAAAAGCTAGGTGGAAGAAAAATATTAAATATCAATAGATAATATATCCCACAAGCTTTTATTCACTTCACATTCTTCTTCAACTTTCTTGGGAATCAGCTTTATCCAGAGCTCATTGTTATTCAGATAATTATCCTAATTTTTCTCATTCTAATTCAGCAGAAATGAATATCGTAAAAGGATTTAAGTTTATGCCTCCCATCTACCCAAGACCCACATTTCTTACATTTTTAAATGAATCTTTATACATTTCCATATATTCAAGGAATTCTCACTGAACATGAATAATATGATTAAACCTTAAAATTCTAGAGCTTTATGTTTGTAACATTTTAAACATATACTACATGACTATTCTCTGTTAAGCTGTAAGTTCTGACTGCACAATTTTTTGATTGCATGTATGCAAAAGCCAGTGCTCTAAATACTGTAAAGTTATGTCAAAGTTTATTAGTCTTGTTTATAATCTAAGGACCGTTCACAGCACTCCTCTGAAACAGCTGTTTTCCTCTGGCACATTTCTTAACATTTTACTTTGAATCTTTGATCACTACAGTGAAGCATTTTTGCTGCTGTGTGATGACATTTAATCTAAAAATACCTTTCAGATCCTATCCATATGAAGAACCACAATGTTTCAACAACTGAGTTGTTGAAAATAGTACAAAATTTCACATCATACTTTGCAAGCCCAATATTCAGTAATCTCTGATTAAGGAAAAAACATGCAGAAAGATTTCAGGACACTGCTCAGTCAGTTCCTCAGATATAAGGTAGGTTTAATTATATTTGTTCTTCTTCTTACCAAACTCGTACAATTCTCTGGAACATTTTTTAATTTCAGCCCTCCTTTCCAAAATCCTTGCATCCTGCTTCAATATCATTGGATCATAGTACTGCAGAATAATTTCTTATAATTTTATAAATAATTTTTATTTATTTTATAAATAAATAATAAAAAAAAAAATTTCCTGGATGAGTATTAAATCAGGGCTATCTATCACTGTTGGTTATTAGTATTATTTTCTTAAAATGTTAACACTCCAAAGAAATTTTCTAGTTCAAACTATAAAAACTCACAATTTTAGACACTGATATAAGGTGGAAAACTTTAACCTAGAGGTAAGTGCATTAAAAGATCAGCTATGGTAGCAGAATATTAATATGGTGAACTTCAGTAGAAGTTTTAACTTACAAAGCATTTTACAAATATCACAGTAAGTGAAGCAAGAAGCTGAGTGACTTCCCTATGGCTATATCATGATCCGCTGGCAAAGCCAGGGTGATAATACAATGTCCAACACATTTTTTCTACTGATCATGATACAGGTCACCCAAATCAGTGCAACTGAGATCTCAAGAGAGATAGATGGGAGTAAGTGCAGATAACCAAAACACATCTTTTTTAATAGATCATCATAGATCATGAAATCCTGCTTCAAAATTCGCTTGACTGCGTACAGCAAGGATCAGTTGCAAATAAATTTTAGCCCACTGTCCAGTAACCTAATTGCTGCCCTCTAACAACCATGTGCATCTGTCTATACTGCCTTCTTTCCAGCATTATGAACATCTTGGCATGCCAGTTTGTGGATACACTGTGTAGTGTGGTTGACACACATGAGAGACCTAGACAGGCTCAAGCAGTGGACCCAGGTGAACCTCACGAGATTCAACAAATCCAAGTGCAAGGTCTTGCACCTAGGTTGTGGCAATGCCCACTGTCAGCACAGGCTAGGGTATGTAAAACTGGAGCACAACCCTGCCAAGTAGGTCCTGGGGGTACTGGTGGATGACAAGCTGGAAATGAGGCAGCAATTTGCCCTCACAACCCAGAAAGCAAACTGTATCCTGGGCTGCACTGAAAGAAATGTGGCCAGCAGGTCCAGGGAGGAGACCCTGCCCCTCTGCTCTGTGTTAGTGAGTCCTCACCTGGAGTACTGCATCCAGGTGTGGAGTCCTCAGTGTAAGAGAGATGCGGACCTGTTGTACATGTCCAGAGGAGGGCCACAAAAAATGATCCCGGGGTGGAATACCTCCCCTGTGAGGACAGGTTGAGGGAGCTAGAGCTGTGGAGAGGAGAACACTCCAGGGAGACCTGATAGCAATCTTCCAGTATCTAACGAGGGGCTATAAGAAAGAAGGGACAGATTCTTCAGCAGGGTCTGTGGTGATAGGACAAAGGGAAATGCTTTCAAAAAGAGGGGAGATTTAGATTGAATATAAGAAAAAAGTTTGTTATGATAAGGGTAATGAAGCATAGGAACAGGCTGCCCAGTAAGGTGCTGAATGCACCTTACACATTCCTGGAGACATTCAAGTTGAGGCTGGACAGGGCTCTGAACACCTGATGTAGTTGATGTAGTCCCTGTTCATAGCAGGGGAGTTGGACTAGATGACCTTTAGGGGTCCTTTCCAACACAAAATATTCTACGATTCCATGGATTCTAAAGGAAGCTTTGAAGTATAAAGATCAGCTGGAAAAAAAAAGAAAGAAAACAACCCCTGTGTAATAAAATAGTATAATTTACCAGATCGTTAAACAATGAATTATCAATACTAAAATGCTGCCTTCCAGTGATGTCTATAATCCCTACTCAGTGGGGACGTTTCACAGAACTGATATTAGTGGCGTTTTATTGAGAATTTAATACAAACAGCAAGTGAATGAGCTGAGCTTCCACTATTCCACTGTTTGGTTGTCATTTATCTTTTTGCTTCTTTCACTTAAAGTAAAGCCAGACTATTTTGACTGGGTAAAGAAGTTGGCACTAGAACTCTATGTTTCATTCTGTCTTGTGGCTAGCTGAATTCAATCCCCACAGCTACCATAATCTAATAACTTTTCAGAAGCACTTAGTTTTCCAGAAGGATTAAAAAAACACAGCCACTCATAATCATGCAATGAAATTGTGCCTGTCGCCTTTGTGCTCTTAGCCTGTTTTTTATGACTAGGCTGTTGGGGAACAAGTGATACTTTAGAGTAACTTCACTTTTCCCAAATGATTTATAGATAGATGGTGGTGTGCTTAATGCAAAATTTCCACGTATAAAGATTGATATTCAGAAGTCTCCCACTGTTCATTAAACCATGATCAATATTTATGAGAATCTCAACCCTCATGTCTCTTCTATGCAGTGAAATCATACACAATATTCAACAGCATATAAAGGCATTTGTCAGAGTGCATATTGTGAACTTGTGCAGTTCAAGCCTTCAAGATATGAGAGCAAATCTTCACATTTCCAATTCTTTATTTTTACAGTTTATGCATGTGGGAAACTGTAGCCTGTGGGCATAACACTCCAATTGGAGTACATACTAGATCTCAGAAATCTGAGATTGTTTCTTTACTTACTATATATGTATGAATAATAAAGATTTTAATACCAGACTTTCAACAATTTCAATCACTTCAAAATTTTTCAATCACATCATGACAAACTGTCAGAAAAGAGAAATCTGAATAATTATGCTCAGCAATTCTACAGCACCTTCCATCCGAGGAATGCACTGGGTTTGGCTGCGATGGAGTTAATTTTCTTCATAGTGGCTCAGATGGTGTCATGTTTTAGATTTGCGACCAAAACAGCGCTGTTAGAACACTGTTGCTATTGCTGAACAGTGCTTGTACAGCAGCAAGGCCTTTTCTATTTCTTCTTCCCCTCAATAAATAGGCGGAGGGTGCAAGAGTCTGGGATGCAGCCAGGACAGCTTTCTCCAGTTGACCAAAGACATTCTGTGCCATATAACATCATGCTCAGCAATAAAACTCTCTCTGAACAGCCACTGCTTGAAAAACTGGCTGATTTGCGGGTGGTGACTCATGCTTTTGCATCACTCTTTTTTTTTTTTTCCACTCCTTCACTTATTAAATTATCTTCATGGTGAACCATGAGCTTTGTCGCTTTCAGCTATCCCATTCTCTCCCACATCTCAGTAAATAAAAGTGAAGATGTGTGGTGGTTCAACTGCCAGCCAGGGTCAACCCACAACAAGCAGACATTAGCAGTCTGTGAAAACTAACAAGCTTTGCAATACCAAGATGAAGGGAGATGGAGAGAAATAAATTACATGACTTGTCCAAACTAACTGAATGGAGACAGGAAGAATATCCTAAAAGGTGTTAATTGCAAAATGCATTTTTTCAACAGTGAAGTCCACATGAATGAGTGCCCTATTTTCCTGTTTTTGGAGGCATTGGGGGCAGGTGTGAGGAAGCAATGAAAAAAACTACCCTCATAATTAAGAGTGGAATAATTAAAATGAATATAGTTAAGAGCACGTTATAAAAGATTGAAGAATCACAGATTTGTAAGCAATGCAAGGGACCTCTGGAGATCATTTAGTCCAACCCCACTGATAAAGCAAGTTCCCTACAACATATCACACAGGAAAGTGTCCAGAAGGGTCTTGAATATCTCCAGAGAAGGAGAATCCACGGCCTCTCTGGGCAGACCATTCCAGTACTGTGTCACCCTGAGAGAAAATACATTTTTTTTCTGTTTTCTTCTTTTTATTTAGATTTTTTTTTCCTTTTTATCTGTAAAGGATAAATTTCAACGTTCTGCAACGTAAAATATCAGAAAAATTGCTTTCAGGTGAAATTAATATGAAAATTGACATGGAATGTATTCACTATCTTAAATATTAGTGACATTTTTGTTTAGTAGAAAAATATACAGTGCAG